CTCCCTCCCCTTCCGCCTTTGTCCCAGGGAGGCAGGAAAGGGAGGCGAGGTCCTCCCTTAGCCTCAGCCCGGGCACAGCTCGCTCGCTGGCCCTGAGGCCAGTGCAGCCCTACGTGGCCCCAGAGCAGTTGCTTGTGTTAAAGCCGAAGGTCCTGCCGCTGGGTCACGGCCTGAATTGCGCCTCCCAGCGCTATTGCTTGCTGTTGACTCTCGGGCCTCTGCTCCATCAACTTCCCATCCTCTAGTTTTTCTTTGGAAAAACTATCTCTCGGCCCCGCTTAAAATGAATGTGGATACATACATCCACGGGCCTTCATCAGCATCTGCGTCAGCGCAGCCTCCCTTTCTTGCTCACCTCCTCCTGCACGTAGTGTAGAGAGACCCAGTTTGGGGGCACCGCAGCTGCAGTGATTGCAGGGTGTTCAAGTACAGCACGACGTTGATTTTGGTGAGATGAGCTTTTCAAGCACACAAACCCTTCGGTAAAGCACAAAACTTTGCATCTCTCTAGCTACCAAAACCCCAGGATTGTACACGTACGTGTCACCCAGTGCAGTGGCCACCCAAAAAAAAGTGGAAAGCAACAAAACCACAGGGAGCCGTTCCGTGCCAGAACAAACTCACGGCCAGGCTGCTGTCTGTGAGAGAATGCTTTTCACCCCTCCCCCCCACCGTTTCTGACCTCCTCACACACAGTAGAGGCTTTGGGGAGATCAGCTAAACCAGCTGGTCTGCTGGGGAATGACTCCCTCCTCCTGCAGCCTTGGCCCTGCTCGGGTGTACCTGTGCCTGCTGCGGCCTGCACACCGTGCTCCTTCCCCCCTCCCTCCCTCAGCACCTCGTACCTGGGCAGCCGAGACACTCGGCGCTCCCCCGCCGCTGTCGCAGATGCGGTCACAAGACCCGCGGCCCCGCAGGCTTCCCGTCAGCGCAGTACATCATCGTGAGTGCACCGCTGAAGTCACGCGTCTGTTCTTTCCCCAAGGTCCATGTAAATTTGCTTCTGGTGGAAGCTCGGATGCAAGCCGAACTACTTTATGCTCTGAGAGCTATTACTCGCTATATGACCTGATGTCTCCGGCTGCCTGTCGACGTCGGAATGTTCTGCAGCTGCAGCGTGGCAGAGGGAAGAGACGAAGCCTCAGGACCAACGGTAGCTATACGTTAAGATGCCCATTGTGCCATAACTCCTTTAGTTTCAGCTATTTCCGTGTTTGGAATCTCACTGCCGCCACTCGGCAGCGAACGCTTGGCAGTTGAAAAGACGGGGTTGCGCGGAAGCGCCGCCCGCTCCTGGTATTTTGGCTTTCAGCAGCACGGGACACTCTGGACTTGTGGCAATATAGCAAATGATAGATACGTAGATCCCGGGTTAAAGCAAATCCTGCGGGAGCTGGAGAGTGAAAAGGAGCGGGACTGGATGACATTTGCTTTTCATACGAGACTAATTCTAGAAAAC